GTAAAAGCATGTGTCTGATACAATAAGAAACTCGAGAAGCAGGACTGGGTGTGGTGAAGCCATGAGTTTGGGTTCTCTTGGACCACCGACAGGTAAAATGTCTTTTATTTTCTTAAAACAACACACGTTTATTCAACTAAATTAGGAGATGTTAATAAGAAGATGAAATGGTTTGTGTGTGTGTGTATATATATATATATATATCAAATATATATATATATATATATATATATATATATCAATCATGTTTTAAAAAGTACGAAAATTGGGTAAAATTTTGTAAAGATGGTACGGGTGGATATATTGGATTTTGTTTTGGTTATTTTCCTTTTTGATGGTTTTCAAGTTTTTGAAACAAAAGAGTATTTTTAGATTTTTATATTAAATTTTATTTTCATTAAAAAATACTTTTATTTTTTTTTATTTTTTAAAATGTTCAATTACTGTATTTTCAGATTGAATTAATTAGTTTTAACAAAAATTATATCCAATCCGTTATTATATCCTTAGCTTAAATGACTATCTCAAACTTGTCTTTGTGAAAAATCAGTCCAATGTTAGACGAAGATTAATCATCAAATTATATCGTATTTACAATCTTTCTTGTGTTTAAATTCAAATTATTATTTGAAAACCTGTAAATCAAGTTGAAGCGATTGGATCTTATTATAATCTACGTGCATGTAATTCAACCCTTTAATTTATTGGTAAATCAGTTTTTGGACTATATCTAATGTGATTTTACATATAAGATGGATTAAATAAAATAAAAAAATCGGTCAATTCCAAATCACATGGTTGATTTTCAATAAAACGAAACGTAAAATATTTATCCTACTCAAGTTCAGATTAATCTCGATCTTGATTCAAAATACTCGAATAGACTATTACAAAAAAAAAAAATCGGTTAGTTGTCTAGAAAATCTCATCATTATATATACATATATAATTTATCTACGTGTTAAAAAATTAAGAATTTAGGATAAAGATGCATAGCCAAGACCCAAGCAACGTGCACCATGATGATAATAATATTAAAAAAAAAATCGTATATAAACACCTGAACTTTTATAAAAAAAATTAAATAAATATCTGAACTATAAAATTTTTAAATAAATATCTAGATTTTTCAAAACTTTCACATAAATACCCAAATTTTTAAAAATTTACTAAATAAAACAATATTCGCAGACGACTAAGTCATCAATTATCAATGAATTTCGTTATAAGTAAAACGCCGTTAATAAATTTTGGTTTTATTTGGTAAATTTTTAAAAGTTTGAGTTTTTATGTAGAAGTTTTGAAAAGTTCAAATATTTATTTGGGATTTTTGTAAAAGTTAATGTAGGTATTTTTATTCGATTTTCTATAATAATAATAATATGGATACTTCTTTTTTTTGGTTCTTGTAGTTATATTGAGATTTTCAACATAAGAAATTATATATCATTTGCCACTGGTGACAATGTCTGCCAATTAGTTTTTATTATTGTTTTCTCCTTTGGAGACTGAACTGAGTCAACTGACCGACGCCTATAAGCATTGGAAAAAAAGTAGAAGTGTGTACAATTTAGGGGCCAAAACGATCGAAAAAAAAAGATCATTGTATAAATGTTGGGTCCATTTAAAATGAAAGTTTTTGATGCATCACTGTAATTTTAGAAATATTTTTCAAATTCGAATATCTTTATTAGAAAGTAATTTCACATCGTTCGAATATTTGATATTCACCTTAGGGTCGAATAAGATGCTCGAGAATGGGGCATGTCTATTGTATAGCACTCATGTGTGATACATATACATATGGCCTACCAAAATAAAAAAAAGGATTGTTTGATAAATAAGCCACTCACATATTTGGTTCCAACTTTGGGCGGTCAAGATGGAGAAAAGATCATCTGTCCCCATCTTTGCTTTCTTTAAGCCTTTGGTATAATGGACAACATGTGCTCCTTGTTTCTCTATTATGTTAAAAAAAAAAGTTCATTATTTTTCATAAAATAATATAAATGCTCGGGTTGCCTACTATATAGAAAGATTGGAAAGAATACGATATACATTTATATTTCCCAAAAATTTGTTATAAATTTATTTTTATATCTATGTGTAGAAACTTTTGACAGATGAAAAACTTGTGGGAATATTTTATTGTATGAACGACCTTGCTTTGGTATGCTCCTAAATTCAGATTTAATCTTTCTATATTTTCATTACATATCTTAACTTCTTTTTTTCATTGATTTTTCTCTATTTTTTCTTACATTACCACCTTTCTTAATACATTCAATGAATGATTTGATCCGATATATATAGAAAACGATATAATGGAAAATCAAATCATTATATATATATATATATATAATAGAGAAGGGTCGTTTCCAAGTCTTCGCCAAGCGCCACTTTTTGAAGTAAAAATATAGAAATAAAATGACTAATCGAATTATGTTTAATGATTAATATATTGTTATATCAATAGAAAATCAAATAAGAATATATGAACCAAATTATCTTCAATTAGGAAAATAATGGTATAAAAATATAAAACAAGAAATGTAGATAATGTAACTATTTAATTAGTAATTTATTGATAAAGTTAAAAATTCTTCGAAAATTTTAAAAATATATGAAATTTGTGTAATTATTACATAAGATGACATATTTCACTCAACACTCAATATTTTATGAAAAATAAAAAAAAAATCTTATTTACAGTATAGTAAATTACTAAATTTTAATTATCATTTGACATAAAATATCAATTAGAGTTCTGAATTTTTATACCTACTTTTAAAAATATTTAATTAATACCATAATTCGCGCGACTTGGAGTGAAATAACACTAGTGTATATACCTGCCACGTGGATATTACGTGATTATCCACTCATCAGTGTAGTGTTTGTTACAGAAAAAGGCACGAGCCAAAAAAAGGGCGGGAGCCATTTTTTATTTGCTTGATCGCCAAGAATCTTCATTGTCGCAGCGAGTGCGGTAACTCTCTTTTCCAGAGGCTAAGGACAAAAAAAAAAAAGCCGAGCTTTTTCGTTAGATACTTCTAATTTATATATATATATATATATATATATATATTTTATAAATTTTACGAAATTATATTGATCACAATTCGAATACAAGAACTACTAATTTAAAAAATGCAAATTATTTTATCGATAAATAATTATTCATGATTTCTAAATTGATAAACTTTAGAACTGCTTTCCATTTTATAAATATCTGTTGGTCAAAAGTCTCATGAAAATCTCAAATATATTTTTATCATAAGGTTACAAAGTGGTACTTAAAGCTCAAAACCGCAATCAAAGTAGTTAGAGCACTCAAATCCTAATTTTGGTCTCCACCTTTTTTGACATTCTCTTAGCCATGCAATCATTAAGGTTAATGAAATTTTATATATATAACTGTTGGATTTTTTTTTACCTTATAGAATTGCTATGTCATTGGGTGGAAAAAAGAATATCAATTTTATTTTTATTTGCTATGTTTTTTATTTTGTCTATTTCATCTTTATATATAACTTCTTCTTTTTTTTATAATCGGGTATAATGAATCGAGATCCGAATCATACACAAGTCATGTGATTGGAATTATATTCATCTCCCAAACTTAAACTTCAGGGACGTAACAAAGACTATGTCATTGGGTGGAAAAAAGAATATCAATTTTATTTTTATTTGCTATGTTTTTTATTTTATCTATTTCATCTTTATATATAACTTCTTTTTTTTTTATAATCAGGTATAATGAATCGAGATCCGAATTAATATCGGAATCATACACAAGTCATGTGATTGGAATTATATTCATCTCCCCAACTTAAACCTCAGGGGCGTAACAAAGATTTTGTGTACACCTTCTTATATATAACTTGATTGACCAAATAAACATTATTTTATATTTCGCGAGACAAAACTTGGCAATTCACTATGCTTTTGTTTACAAGATTCCGAGTTCACTCACGCAACTCGTGTGTTAACGGAAGAAAATGACTCTGCAACCGAAAATGCATAGATAACGGCGAAGAAACTCGACCGACAAACTTATCCGACTTCCCTTTCGAAAAGACTTCTTTGCCCTCCCTCGCCCCTGAAACGCTCTGTTTCACTGAATCCCTCGGTTTAGTTTTATCCTCCGGTTCAACGGCAGATTTCCTTCTCGGTTCATTTAATTGCAATTGTACTAGAACCTTCCTCTTGAAACAGAAGTTCTTCTCACTAGCAGCAGTCACCATCCCGACACTCTACTCACAAACACAACACTCTAATCCTGATTTTTTTAAAAAAATATAACTATTATAATTATGATCACTTTCATCAGAGGGAAAACATTTGTGTTTTTTTTTTTGAAATTTTTAGAATCTACCCCTCGTCAAATAAATTGATTAACTCAAATACGGTTTAATAGTTTCAAATATTTGTAATATAAAACTATATCAATGATAATATATTAAAATTATGAATAATATAATCTTTTGCTGTAAAAAACTAGACAAAAAGATAAATTTTTTATTAAAAATTTTAAATATACAAACTTTCGGTAAAAAAAGGACCTAACACAAAATTTTGTTATGCACTATTTTTTTGTAAAAAAATAAAATTGCTGATATGAAATTTTCAAATATAAAAAATCGCGAATACAGTTTACCAAGTTTTTATATAAAATTATCAATTCAATTAATAAATATACGAAAATTGTATTTTTCAAAAATATATACGATAATTTCAATTATATTTAACATGATAAAAATTACCACTCCTATGACCTATTGTAGTTGGATTTGATCCAGTTGTGTTTTAACTTGGGTTTCAGAATATTTAGATTTCCAACAAAAACCAAATCAAATTCAAATCTTGACTATGAGCTTATATACAGGTGGGCTTTAGCTTTTTATTGGGCCTGAAATCGTGGGCCTTGAGAGGCGAAACGACATCGTTTAGAAGGTCAAAACTCGCTTACTTCGCATCAGTGACAAAGGCCCCCGAAGAGGAGGAAGAAGGGGAGAGAGAGAGGGTGCTCAAGAAAATGCAGAAGCCATGGATTTGGGTCGCCTGGAGCATCGTAGTAGCGATGTTCCTCTGTGTTGCACGTCACGGCGAAGCGACGGAGACACCGCAGTACGAGGTTGTACATACGGAATCGGACTTCGAGATCAGGCTCTATAGAGATTCCGTCTGGATGTCGATCACCGTCTGTGATCTCTCCTTTCAGAAAGCAACTCTGTTTGGCTTTCATCGGTAATTTTCTCGCACGTTCTCTCTTGTTTTTGTATTGTTCGATTTCGGTTTGGATTGCATGTCTTATGGGTTTGCTGATTTTGAGGTTTATTTGTTAATCTGAGGAATCTAATATCGGAGTAGACATTTGTGTACTGCTAAGTTATCGTATTCGTTTTTTTGGTTGGGATGTAGGACGAAGCATGGTCGTATTTCGATTCGGATTGTTTCGTTTCTTGGAACTTCATCCGTTCTGTTGATTTGGGAATTGGGACTGAAATTGTCTCTTTGGAATGAGAGATTGATTGTCTAACAAACGACTAATCATATGCCAATTCATTCATTCTGTCACTGTGAAGCAAAAAGAGATACAAAACATTCTTAACTAATGTAGACATTGATTGTGTAATTGCTGAGAATCATATGGCAATTCATTCACCCTTTTCTACTGCATTGAGAATTTCGTTCCTGCCCCTCTAGTGCCGTTACCGTCACTGTTACTGCATTGTATTCGGTGTCTTCCTTTTGTGCACATGAAAAACAATCTTTTGGGATCGAAGAACTCTCTTGAATCTTGATTGATACTTCGGTCTTGGTAATGATTCTCGAGGTCATCTTAACTAATGTTTTTCATAGCTAGGATCGAAAAGTCGGGGTTTTTCTTCCTGCTCATCGCATGGCATTAGTCATTCCGAAATATCTATTGCGGCAAACCGTTTATTTATGTGAAAATTGAGCTAAAAAGCTTCAATAACTAGGTACTGTTGTATATTTTACTGCGGCGCTGAACCATCCATTTAACTCTGGTGTTAGTCACCCTGTGCATGGTTTCCCTGGCCATGCCGTCGGAGTGGAAGCTTTCTATTTGATTTGATTTCTAACCGGAGTTATTATTAGTTAATTTGTACGTAACGAACGGAGAATTTGGATGACTGGTAGAACTTGGCATGTATCCCGACCCATTTCTAGTTTTCAGCTTTCGCTTATACTCGGTACACCAAATTCATGAATAGATGTAAAGTTATAGGCTTGGAAATATCAAGCACCATATGAACCAGATCAATGTTTGTTTGGAAACCTTTCCCAATGCTTTTTTGCTGCATTTATCTTCTTTCTCTGTTTTGCTTGAAGAACATGGGCAAGCATATAATAACACTGTTCATATGATGATCTCTCTTCACAGTTTGTTTCAATATATCCAAGGAGCAAACCTGAACTTCTCAAGGATCCCGATGACATCGCCGGTATTGACAAGCATTGTTCCCGAGGCCGGACCGCTTCATTCGTCAGCCTATAAGGTCTTGTTCTACCTGCCGGCAAAGTTCCAAGCTGATCCACCGGTGCCTTTAGCCGAGCTTCACCTGAAACCCTACAAGTGGGACTCACACTATGTGGCCGTAAGAAAGTTTGCAGGGTTTGCAAGAGACGACAGAATCGTGAGAGAAGCGGAGAAGCTCGGGATAAGCCTGAGAAAATCTCTGTGGGCAAACTGTACTTCGGATGAAGGCGATTTCGCTTACTCCATAGCGCAGTACGATTCCCCGTTTCGATTGATCGGTCGGAAGAACGAGGTTTGGGTTGACGTTGTTGCAGACGAACTTGGCGCCTGCAAATTCAGCGGAGTTGCTGTAGCCTGAGGTGATATAATGTGGGTATGTACGTACGTATGTATGTATTGTATACGTGTGTGTATATACGTGTATTGTACGTAGAAACAAAAGTCACAATGTCTAATAACTATATCGCCCATTAATAATCTAGTTTGGTACAATTTTTTTGTAGAATCAAATAAAATGTTCCCAGCCTAATCCTATTATTATTATTATTTGCTTATTTATAATATTTCAAAATATATTGAATAATTTTCTAAAAATCCTATTAGGTATTTGAAATCGGTTCTTAGACATAATCTCAAGATCTAGTTGGTGACTAATGGACCACATTGGATATTACGTAGAACTATGCATGTTGTTTTTATTCTTAATCTTTTGTAAATCCAATTTTTATTGTTTTTGTCTAATTTTGTTGAAGAGTTGATCCAACTCAATTCCATATCAATATAAGCGGTGAATAATTAATATTTCGGTTTATTTTAAATTTAATTATTTTTATTTAAATTTTCGGTTTTAAAAAATTCATATCATGTAATTAAATCTGATTTGTATTTGACACACAAACCGAGAATACGACCTTTTTTCCACGGACTAATTAGATCTTAAGTAGAATTTTGTTTGCTGTTTTTCTATCATCAATTCTTATGTTTAATAAAATATTACAAAGAATTAATAAATCATAAAATTTCGAATTGCGTTTCAAGTTAATTTACATTCAAAATGTTCAATTATAAATATTTTTCATTTGGTTTTTCTATCATATTTTTAATTGAGTTATATTCACATCCAATGGATAAATATTTAGTTTCCTACAAAATCTATTTTTTACATTTATATTAGATAATGTAGTTTAAAACATTTCGTAACAAATTTATTTTAAATATAAAGATTAATAGTATTCTACTGCGGTGAGTAAAAGGACGCGAGTTAATAACGTCTAATATACCATACGGCAAAAATGCCATTGGAGATGGATTTGTTCCATTTTTACCCATTTGAAAAACAAATTAAGAAAAAGCTCAGTGAACCGTTCGGCTTCTCTTCTCTCTCTTTCGATTAAAAAAAAAAAATTCGTTGAACGAGAAACCATTTGTCTTCGATTCGTTCTTCTTCGCAGATCCCTCATATTCCCAATAACTCTCCTTGTTCGTTTCAATCGATCACCCAGAGAACAATCCGATCTGCTTCTCTGCTTCCACGTCGTTCTTTTGATCTCTTTTCGGTTGTTACATAGTATCTAGGGTTTACGAGGAGGATTGTCGAAGGGGATTGATCGAAGGCAAGTGGTGTCTCTCTATTCCTCTCGTTTTCGCTTCCGATTTGGGTTTGTTTTTGTTGGATCACGAGGTACAATGAGGATTGTAGATTCATAAAGTGAATGTTCGTGATGCCCCTTGAAGCGATTGGGTATTTTTTGGGGCATAATTGATGCTGGTGAATACTATGTATATATGGGATTCGTCAAAGTCCTTGGATTCATAGGAAATACATAATCTGGTTCTAAAACGTTCTCTCATTTATCTTCAATATTAGCTGTAGGACTCCATATGCATGGCTTTCCGTATGCATTTAGGTCGTTGGTAACGTAATTGCTTGATTCTATCGTTTTTTTGAAGCAATTCTTTATGGAAACATTTTCAGGTGAGTGATTTGTATTTACTGAGCTTGGGTTTGCTAATCTTCTTATGCTTATAGTTTATTGGGCACGGAATTAATAGTTTATGTTTGATTATAATTCGAGTTGGAGTTCTTTGCCAGGAAAATTGTATTAGCTGTCCAGTTCCCCTACTCTTTGGATTTGGGTGTTTTTAGCTTGGCTTTTTGATAAGGGATGCGATTTGTTACGCCTTTTTTACAGGTTGAGGTTTAGTTGGATGGTTGTGCAGTAGCTGCTGAATAATGATCTCAAACACAACAGGAGATCGAAGGTACGTTTATGTAATTGTAACTATAAATCTAACCTTTGTTTTGTTATTAAATTTGCTATGTTTTTAGTGTTTTAGCTGTTTTTTTATCAAATGACAGTAGCGTTATCTTTTAGACAAGGTTTTGTAGTTGTCTGGAGTACTTTTTATATATCTTTTCTCGGTTATGCATCCAAGTTTCCGACATGGCCATAGCATGCTTACTTCTGAACCATAGAATCATTATATGCAGATCTATGCTATATCTATAGGATACAATGACTGCTAGAAAGTCTGTTTTATGGGCCACAAATTTGCTTTCTTTGAGTAAGCCTGTTGGGTTGATGGTTACCCAGGCATGATCTTAACAAGAATCCAAGTAGAAATTGGGACCTATAGTTTCATTTTCTTCTGTGCTAGAACACTGTAACAGTACAAGCTAGTTTAGCAAAGGAGAATAACAGTAAAGTACATGTAGAACTTTATTAACCCAGCTTGCTATGAAAGCCGCCCTTCAATAATTCTTTTATATTTAATTGTTTCCATTGCCTTATTATTAAAGTATTTTGCTGTTTATTTTACCCTTTGCTAACTTATTCTTTGCAAGAATTGTCTATTCTGTTTTTGTGGTCGCTGAACGTGGCTTTATTGACAAGCATTACATTTGTTGGATCCAATCATCAGCAGATGGGGTACTGCAAGACGAAGTGGCATGACAATATTAGGAAAGGTTGCAGTCCCAAAACCCATCAACTTACCGAGCCAAAGGTATTTAATGAATGCTTGGCAACGTTATATTCGTTTTATTTTATTAGTGTTGATATGTCCATCTGTTAATTTAGTCCCACTCACTTCTTTTTGGCATTTTAGGTTAGAAAATCAGGGTCTTGACCCTAATGTGGAAATTGTGCCCAAGTAAGTTTCTACACCTCTCTTTATCTAGATACCACTTCTCCATTTTTTATCCCTGAAATCCTGTAGTTTATTTTAATTTTCTCTTTCAAATGTGTAATTAGGGGAACCCTTAGTTGGGGCACCAAATCATCTCTGAATGCATGGGGTTCATCATCATTGTCACCGCGGACTGAAAACAGTGTTGGTTCTCCAAGCTATCTCAGTAATCGTCCTTCTTCTGGTGGAACTGGCACTCGGCCATCAACTGCTGGTAGCGATAAAGCGCATGAATCTTCTGCTAATGCATGGAATTCAAACTCTCGGCCTTCATCAGCGTCTGGTATGTTACCATCCAATCAGGCGTCACTTGCACCATCTCGTCCACGCAGTGCAGAGACTAGACCTGGTAGTTCCCCGTTATCCCGTTTTGCTGAAACTGCGCCAGAGAATTCTTCTGTTTGGAGCCAACATGAAGCAGAGAAGTTGGTAAGGTTCTCGTTAACTTTACATAAGTGCCTATGTTTGTCAACTCTGCCTAGCATCAACATTATCCTCTTTGGTATTACTACTTTGTTTATTAAGAGTTATGTGATTAGTATTTCATATTCCTTCCGATTAGTAGCTGGGAAGTTACAATAAGTCCTTATGTTTGTGAGACAGTTGATCCGAATAGAATTTCACCCGCAGGATGTTTCATTTGTGGTTGTTGAGGAAACATATTCAGGGTGCTGTGTTTGTCAGATATGCAAGTTATTATTTTCTGGTTGAGTTAATATTGTTTAATGTGTAAGAGCATCTCGACAACTTACAGGGTTGCATGAGCTTGAATGAGTGATGTTGGAATCGGGTTATGATTGGCGAAAAATTTAATGCACATTTTTTCAGGGTTTTACAGGATATTTGTGTTCAAAATGACCCAAAGAAACTATTTTTATGTGCTATATTTGGCGGAAAGTTTGATGTTTGACTCGAACAGTTTGAGATTCATAATTCTTTAAAACTAAAATATTTAAAATCTGCAATATGATTTTGTGAAACACAACCTAGTCGCTGTGATTTCGCTTCAGAAGTATTGAATAGCAACTGTGTTTATCGATACCCTTTCGATTACCTTTTTTGTCCTTTTTATGTTCGAAATCCATCCTTCGTTGCTTTTGACTATTTTCTCTTTTTCCGCAGGGAGCAGGTCCAACAAAGAATGATGGGTTTTCTTTGGTTTCTGGAGATTTTCCTTCACTTGGCACTGAGAAAGCAAGTACAGGGAAAGAGTGCAGAGCCACAAGGTATAATGCGTTTTACAGTCAAAATTGTTGTTGCACTCATGCATACTGCTTCCTTTTGAATTTGGGTTGTTTCTACTTCTTGTCAATGCCATCAAGATTCAAGAGAGTATCACCAGGCACCAGCATTTTCCATCATTTCTCCCATCTTCTTGCTCTGTGTGAACTTTGTTAACATCTCATTCACTTTTACAGTTGCCTGAAAATGTTGCTGTTTTTAGCTTGAGTTAGCCTTCTCAATGTGGCTTGATCTTCCTACTCGAATTTAGTCTAAATTCTCTCTAGGAATGCCTGTGGGAGTATTGACATGTTCATTTTGTTTTTGTAATATTAACTAGGAGTTATTTCTTATAAATGCATCACTATTTTGGGTTTATTCTGTGTCCTTTTAAAACCAGTATCGAAGGGAGTGGAGAATCCAGAAAGATTTTTCTGTAGGAGAGAGACATGAATGCTAAAACAAATTAAACATTCGGGGATAGTGTTTCTGGCATGGGGTTGGTTGCATACTTTTCCGGTTTAACTTATGCGTAACATATGTCTCTTTAGGCTCTTTGGATCACATTGATTAAATACTGTGGATGTGATGGACTGTATTTTGATAAGTAGATTTGACTCATCAGACATAGTACTTGCAAACCATTTATTCACAGATCATGGTCCTCATGTTCGTCCTGGATCATCATCTGGAAGATCAGCAGTTGCAGAAGAATGGAGTATAAATTCCATTGAAGGTTCTTGCTCTCAAACTTCTTTCTCTTTTCTCATCAGAAGCCATGCAGGTCTGTGCATTCTAGTTTGATAGTTAATACTCCTAAAAATTACTTTCCTGAGAGGGGCTTAGTCCTTTGTCCATGTTTGTCTGCAAGCTTCTGAGGGATCATGTTGCTGCATTCTCATCCACATTTTGTTAGCATGTTCTATATGCACATTATACCAGATCATATCCTTTTTACGGATGGCTTTCCTGCAGATGCTAATGTAAGGGGTGGAAAAGTCAATACGTGGAGAAGAGATCATCAACCATGTGGTGAAGAGGGACCCAGGCATGGCTTAGAGGAAAGGCAAATGGATCCTCCTGGTCCACGACCTTATACTAATGCTAATTTTCTTCCTC